AGTCCTATAACCGCCCCAGTCCTATAACCGCTTTGATACTATAACCGCTCCAGTACTATAACCGCTCCAGTTCTATAACCATTTTTATCATAGAAAATTCCCAAACCAGAAAATTAAAGAAAAACCACGCGACTCCTCAGCTATATCTTGGGATTAAGTTATGTCGGAAATTTGAGTGCGTGAATAGTTGAAAAATATGAGCAACAGTTATTTAGGGGGGAGACACAATCAACCTTGGCTGCTGTAGGTGCCACCATACAAGCAACACTGACCTTTATAGCGGGCCGCGGGGCGGGTCACAGTACCATGACGGCAGCACCAGCCTCCCCCTTATGTAACATAAACACAGTTATCTAGCCTCCGCCACCATTTCCGGTCACCAATCGCGTGGATTCACTTGATTATCTCCCGTGAGGCCTTACCTTACCTACACAGGTATTTTAACAGCAAAGGAACATCCAGGTGTATATCTTTGTTCCGAAACGCCACTAGGAGAGTGAGGTGACCACACAACACCTGGTCAAACGCACTGTATGTATCTGAGTCATAGTCGTCTAGTATATGATCTCCATTGTACAGTTAAACACCAGGACACATTCCTTCACCCACTAACTAAGACGGACACCAGACACCACAAGTATCTTAGTTAGGATAACAGCCAATTAGGAGAGGTGGTCTACTAACCCCTTATATCTCCTCTGAGCTCAATAAAATCGTCTGACTTCACTAATGAACCTATATTGTAAATCTGAAGTGATATGACTCTACTCTCACGACACTGCCTGGAGAAATTGTCACTGGGAAGCAAAGGGAAACGAGAGAGAGGATGTAAATAACAAACCATCGTGTGAACTTGTAAACAAACTGCCACTCCATCTCATTACCACCGTCTCTTTATCACCCTGTTCCCCTGGCCGCCACCCCTACAGGAGCATTGTTTCCCTATCATATACCCCCTCTACTTCAGGTAATAATGAAGCCCACGATCCACCGCCCTTATCTACCAACACCTACACGCTGAAGGCTTCCTGAAGATAAGGTCACACCGTCTGGAAAACTGCCATAACCTGTACTGAACTCTGTTACACCTACCCCGTCATAACTAATACCCCGTAACTCATTATATATTTGGGATTTATTCATTAACACTATTCATACGTAAATTATAGGTATTTTGAACCGAGTGTCGAATTTCAGTAAGAATGTCGAGAGTTTGGTTGACTGGAAGAAGATGAGGTACAACTTCCGTCAAACCAGAGAGCTTGTCTTGTCGAACTGTCTCCTGGTGTTTACTGTATGTGGCCAAGTCAGTCCCGGGTGGCGACTTGTTATACGTGTGTGTGTGTGTGTGTGTGTGTGTACCAGTATGTATGTTTGTATGTATGTATGTATGTATGTATGTATGAGTAAGCCTGAGTCACGGGCCATAAGTAACCATAAAACAAGAGTTAATTCCTTAAAAAAAGTTACCACTTTCAGTCAGACAACAAGGGGCAGTAATACAGTAGTTTACAGAGAGACTTAAAACACACTGTAAACTCCACTAACAACAGGTGTAGGTGATGTAAACAACAGGTGTAGGTGGTGTAAACAGGACAGGTGTGAGATCGACTGTTTAACACACCTGGTAAAATCGTCTACCAAAGTTAATCAAGTTTTATAGGAGTTTCTTCAGTCTATTCATCACAAAAGTCTAACTGGTGATATGAAAATGCGTAGTAGAAAGGATTACGATTAAAGATAACAGATTCAGATTGCTGATATACTATCGTCATGTTTGATATCTTTAAACGATATTCGCAAGAAAAAACATCGACCCTACTAACACTGATTATGATTGATATTTCACTAAAACATAAATATATCCAAAAAGACGTAAATCAAGAACAAAACATAATAAAATTTGTCAACAAGAACTGAAATTGCAAATCGAACCTTGCACTTAAAATACATTAGACAAATATGGGCACTTTTTTTCATAACTAACTTCAAAGTCATCCCTATCAATCGTCGACACTCAAATACTTCCATGTGTGTTGGTCCTTTCAATCTCAGAATACTACCAGAAACTCTTTATTTTTTTCTAAACATTAACCAAATACTTACGACAGTTCTTAATGATGCACTTCAATGGACACCTTTAAACTTAAGTGCCAACACGAGGCGAAACAACCTCCCTTAGTGTACAAAAACAGGATAAAGTCACCACAGAAGTCCCCCTCCACCTTTTCCCCCCCTACCCTTACCCCTTTCCCTTTCCCACCCCACCCCCTTTTTCCCTCTCCCTCACCCTTCCTACCTTCCCCATTTCCCCTCCTCCACCCTTCATACCTATCCATTTTCCTCCTTTCTTACCCCTCCCGCTCCCCTTTCCCTTACCCCTTACCTCTTACCCCTCCCCCATCACCCTTACAGTTCTACATTATAAACATCCAGCATCATGTGGTAGCAGCACATCACACGTCAATACTATTCTAAATCATTTATATTTTTACGAATGAGAGAGAGAGAGAGAGAGAGAGAGAGAGAGAGAGAGAGAGAGAGAGAGAGAGAGAGAGAGAGAGAGATCATTAAAAACAGCTTAACTTGTCACTTTTATACGAAGTTAAATATTTGTGTTTGTTTGTTTGCTGAGTTAATTTGTATGTGTGTGTGTTTCTGTAGTCCACCGCCAGCCTACACTACTGTCGCTGTTCTCTGTGTTTAGTTTACGCATTCTCTTCATTGCCCCTACATCACAAGACACGAGAGAGAGAGAAAGAGAAAGAGAATGAGAGAGAGAGAGAGAGAAGATAAAATGGTCACCACCAGGAGTAACTCTCGTCCTTCCTCACCTCACAACTCTCTCCCTCTCCCCGTGATAATCAGAGCCTCTCCACAACCACTCGTGTAATGATGAATATTTCTATAACATGGTATAATTAACAGCCCGTCACCTAAGACCCACAGTAAACACCTTTGATTCATAAGATAAATAGGCTGTATATTAGGGGTCAGATTCTAATTGGTAAATGCTGGTGATAATTACAGAACAAATAAAAAAAAACTCAATGAATTAGGATAATAACACCCCTTAGTCTATCAGGGTCATCAGTGCCAGTGTGTGGGGTCAGGGTCATCAGTGCTAGTGTGAGGGGTCAGGGTCACCAGTGCTAGTGTGAGGGGTCAGGGTCACCAGTGTCAGTGTGAGGGGTCAGGGTCACCAGTGCAGGGTCAGGGTCACCAGTGCTAGTGTGAGGGGTCAGGGTCACCAGTGCCAGTGTGAGGGATCAGGGTCACCAGTGCCAGTGTGAGGGGTCAGGGTCACCAGTGCCAGTGTGAGGGGTCAGGGTCATCAGTGCCAGTGTCAGTCACCAGTGCCAGTGTGAGGGATCAGGGTCATCAGTGTGCTAGTGTGAGGGGTCAGGGTCACCAGTGCTAGTGTGAGGGGTCAGGGTCACCAGTGCCAGTGTGAGGGGTCAGGGTCATCAGTGTGAGGGGTCAGGGTCACCAGTGCCAGTGTGAGGGGTCAGGGTCAGAGCCACACGAGACTACCTGATAAATACTTTACCTCTGGACAGCCCGGAAGGTAAAAGGGTCAACAAGAGTATAAGAAATTCAAGTCCTATATTGAATAAGTAAAGGGAAATCCATTTTCTTCCCTCATAAAATAAATAAATTGAAAAAATAAAATATCCCATAATAAGGAAGACATTACAGGACCTCATGTTGTCTTCATCATCACGAAGGAAGAAGAAAACTCGACAAAACACGGCAGCAGCCTCACCACATGTAGCCATCAGGAGTGATTGATGGCCTCCCAGCGTGATAGTTGTGCCACGATCCTTCTCTATATATCTTAGTTGGCTCCCTCAACTACCCCTCACCGGATAATTGGCAACAAATCCCCCAATTAAGGGAACAAACTACCGGCAGTCCAGACAAGATGGAGCGAAAGATGTGCTACGTTATCATCATCATCATCATCATCATCATCATCATCATCATCATCATCATCACCTACACAAAAATATCCCCAAAAGGTTTTCTTTGTTCCATCAATTATGTAACCTGTCTATATGTCAACAAGTTATTATATTCGTATCATGTAATTTGTAGTTAATAACGACTCCGATAACAATAATGTGTATGCATGAAATAAATAAATAGATCAATAATTAGTTAAAAAAATAAATAAATGAATACAGTAAAATAGTCTTGCTTCTTCACATCAAAACACCAACATGGTATACACAAAAGTAGGTCGGTCCCTCACTGCTCAACACTGGTGGGGCTTTAATCCACGCTGTTATACTATTATAAACACTAGATGAGGTAATTGAGGCTAGTTTATCGTGCAATACTCGTGGTTGAGAGTAATTAAGACTAGTTTATCGTGCAATACTCGTGGTTTACAGTAACTCTTCCCAAAAAGGCCACACAACCACGGCCACTAAGTCGAGAGAATATTGCACGACACACGACAGTAATTTCCTGCTCGATAACACCGTAGTTGAGTCTACCCAAAAAATCTTTCTGGGGATTTATAAACATCACACTCTCAGCCATGTCATACGTCTGTCAGTCTGTCTGTCTGTCTGTCTGTCACTCTTTCCTTTGTCTCTACCTCTTGCCTTTCTTCCTAATTTCTTTCTGGGTTTCATTCGACTTTTATCTTTACGTTTTCAATTGCTCTCTCTCTCTCTCTCTCTCACAGACAACATCACACTCGTCCTTATCATCACCTTAACTTTATCCTCTAAATATTACAATACCATTAATTCACATCTCCTCACACGGTATAGCCACAACATCACATTAATTTCCATCACTTTTTAACACTTTCACCATACCAAATTTCCCTCATTCATTATTTTGTTCCTATGAACAATGAATGAGCTTTAGTATCAGATGAACGTTCACTATTGCACACTGTTCACTGCTGAGGTATATAAGGGAACCAGCATCACTGTTTCCTCCTCAGGTAGTTAACACAACACTTTAGCGTTTTCTTTTACAACCTTCGTATCAAATTCAGGACATTCTTGCAGGCGTTGTATCCTCACTGGTAAACATAAAGACTCTTTAAGCGTTGTAATCACGTGTAGGTGTGTATGTGCGTGTGTGTGTGTATGTTGTAAGGGGAAGGAGGGAGAGTGTATGTGTGTGTGTGACGCTGCAGGTGAGGGGAAGAGCAGGAGACCGGTAGGTAAGGCCCGAGAGAGAGAGAGAGAGGGGAGCTCCTCACCCACTGCTAGTCACCACCACCACCACCACCCCACACGGCGTTCTTAGTCTCTCGTTTCCTCTCCCCAAATAACCTTCACTACACGGATTATTTACATATCTACAGACAGGACTAACAGATGTGTGATGGACAAGGCGCACTTAACACAGCATTGTAATGTATAAATGTGTGAGAAAACTAGAGTAAAATAACTGGTATGGGGAGTATCTGGCACCCCGATGTTTAGACCCGCTACAGAAATAGTCGCACATGTCAGACGACGAGATGAACCTCTGCTTCCACGGTATATTTTGCAGTCATAAATAAGATATATGGTGCAAAACTACGGCTACAGTGACGCTCTCTTTGATCAACTAAGAAGTGTTAGGAATTTCCATATATCTAGTGTCAAGTGAGAATGGCTCAAATGTTTTATCTCGAAACGGAAATGTCTGGCGGGTTTAGAGAGAGAGGAAGTTCCACCTGTCGAGAAATATTCGGTAAGTCAGCTGATGGTCCCTGGTGGCGGCCTCGACTCGTGATCAAAACAACACGCCTGACGGCCGGCCAAGACGTGATGATGAAGGTAAATTAATTTCATATGCTTATCATAACAAAAACAACCATATATAAGTGATCTTCGCGAGGAGTCTTGGTGAGGGATGACGAGCCATTTCAAGGATCATGAAGGGGAAAGAGAGAAGTGTTTGAGAGGCTACCTGGGTGTTAAGTCAGGTTAATTAATAGACAGGTAGATATTTACTCGACAGAAGTATCTCAACAATGACACACAACCAATCGACTTAGCCAATGACATTAAGAAACACACCAACAGGAACTGAGAATATAACTGTAAGACTTTAGTGAATGTATCTCATGGTAGGTGATAATGTAGACTGAAACCACACAATATCATAGTTTACCAAAGTAGTTTACTAAGCAGTTATACCTTCAAGAATAGAACTCCGTTTTCTGTTATGATTCATAAACTGTGGTTGGGGCGGCAGCAGCAGGGAGGGAGAGGAACCGCGTGAAAGAAGGCAGCAACATTTCAAGACTCATAGCAACACACCTCGCCAGAATAACCTAAGCAACTACTTCTCTGTACACCTCGCTGTTACGATGATGTGTCACAGTGGGAGAGAAAAACTTCCAAGATGACCTGTTAGAATCTTTATGTTTACATCAACCGGGGGTAGTCACACGATGGAGGGGGAGAATGGTCATAGAGGCGATGGTCGTGTGGGTAACTGTGGTGTGACGGGGATGCTATTGTAGTATCTGTTGCTATGAAGAGAAGGAGTTTGGTGACTGCTACGCTGAGGTAAAATGAAGCACTGGCGGTGGTGGTGATAGTGGTGTTGGTGACAGTGGTGATAATGGTGCTGGTGACAATGGTGGTGATAATGGTGGTGATGGTGATAGGGGCTGACTGGGGTATAATAACTTGCGCTGGAGTTCACCAATGTCCACCCCACTATCTCCTGCTACCCAATACTCGTCTAACTTTTTAACAATAACAACGTTGGTATCTACAGGGTACAGATTAAACAGTCCACAGTATGATCCTATGAGCTCTGTGGTGAAAGTTAAGAAGATGGTTGAACTTAGTGTTAGAAAAGAACGCTGTTAAAAGGTATTAGTGATGCAGAACAACACCAAGGGTGACATTCGTTACTATACCATCGCCGATATGAACGAACCAATACCACCATTGTAACTAGATATTAGAGTTGTTGTTTGAGAAAAAATAATAACGTTGGATGTTTAATATACTGAAATTTAAGTTTTCTACTCATGAATTTCATAATTAATTTCCACGTAATTTTTCACAGTACAGGTTAAAAAAAAGCTTGCAGCGAGAGGGAGGAGCTTAGCGTCATTAAACACATGTTATAAAGGTCACACCAACGCCGCTGGAAATGAGAGAATGTTGTGTTATAAATGTGTACCTTAATCCCTTTACATTCTTAGTTAATTGGGGCACAACGCTGAATGTGTACTTGATATATACAGTACATACAATTGGTGTATTAATTGGCAGATTTTGTACAGCAATAACCATACAATTTACTGCTGCATTGGACAGCTGTAACCTAACCTAAACTAACCTAACCTAACCTAACCCACTCAGATTTTTATATTTTTGTTCTTGAAATCAGATTAGTTGTTAGTACAGTGAGCCAGGACACACACACACACACACACACACACACACACACACACACACACACACACACACACACACACACACACACACTGGCAACAAAATTAATATTCCTATCTTCCAGCGAGATTCTCCCTTCCTCTTCTACCTCCGTCTTCACTATTTACCGGACTATAAGGAGATGAAAATCCGTTATATCGAGGGTCCGTTAGAAGACACCTCCATCTAACGAACTATACAGACGCGAAAATCCATAATATCGAGGGTCCGTTAGATTGATACCTCCATCTAACGTTATATCGAGGATCCGTTATATGTAAAAAAAAAACTCATCTTACTGATTATATGGAGAAAGAAGTCCGTTATATGGAAGGTTCACTATATCATTAACAACAGCTACTCATTAAATAAAACACGTCATTGCCACGAGAGCACTATGAGGAGTGAGGTGGAGGGGAGGTAAAGGAGGGAGGAGCAAGGGAGGGGTAGCAGGAGGGGTGGTAAGGAGGGAGGGAGGTAGCAAGGAGGGGTAGCAAGGAGGGAGTAGGGAGGGAGGTGGGCAAGGAGGGAGGTAGCAGGAGAGGGGGGGAGGTAGCAAGGAGGGAGGTAGTAGGTAGCAAGGGAGGGAGGAGGGAGGTAGCAGGAGGGAGGTGGGGGAGGAAGGTAGCAAGGAGGAGGGAGGTGGCAAGGAGGGAGGTAGCAAGGAGGGAGGTAGCAAGGAGGTAGGGAGGTAGCAAGGAGGGAGGGGAGGTGTAAGGAGGAGGGAGGTAGGGAGGTAGGGAGGTAGCAAGGAGGGAGGTAGGGGAGGAGGTAGCAAGGAGGGAAGTAGCAAGGAGGGGAGGTAGCAAGGAGGAGGTAGCAAGGAGGAGCAAGGAGGAGGTGGTGGGAGGGAGGTAGCAAGGAGGAGGTGGTAGGAGGAAGGTAGCAAGGAGGGAGGTAGGGAGGCAAGGAGGGAGTAGTAGCAAGGAGGAGGTAGCAAGGAGGGAGGTAGCAAGGAGGAAGGAGGTAGCAAGGAGGGAGGTAGCAAGGAGGGAGGCAGGAGGGAGGTAGCAGGAGCCCAAGGAGGGAGGTAGCAAGGAGGGAGGTAGCAAGGAGGGAGGTAGCAAGCGTCCCTTCCCCCTACACTTGGGTGATGAAGGTTGAGCACCCCGGGAAGGACCGACAAAAACATCAAAGAAGGAATTTATAACAGTAAGAAAAACCCACTAATGCAGTTGTGAAAATGCTGGGGTGGGGTGGGTAGGTGGGTAGGTGGGTGGGGTGGGGTGGGGTGTGAAGTTATAGGTGGTAAATCAGGACGTGGGTGGATGCATAGGGACATGGTTGTTGGGAGACGTAGTTTTGTGTGGTGTGGTGTAAAAGGTCTCCCCCCCCCCACAAGGGTAGTTTAGATACGACCAAGGAAGGGCGTGAGGAAGGGCTACCCATCAACACCCACTGAGTACTAACATAAAAAATAAGGAAGTGTAATTTACAGAAACAATAACGGTAAAAACTGTTGTCTTTCTCCAGAGTCAACAGCCACGATGATGACGACCCCTCCCCCTCCTAGCCCTTCCCTCTCCAGCATGCCCTTCCCCTCCGTCCCTGCCCTTGCCCTTCCCCTCCCTCCCTGCCCCTGCCCTTCCCCTCCATCCCTCCCTGCCCCTGCCCTTCCCCTACCTCCCTCCCTCCCTCCAAACCCCCTCCCTACCTACCTGCCTGCCCCTCAGGTGAACAAAATAGTCAGGATGTAGACTGAGTGCTTAAGATTCTTTGGGGTTTACGGGCATAAATATATTCAGCTTCAAGGGGTGTTAACACAAAAACTGTGTCCATAAGAAAAACAAAGAATTCAGTAACTGTTTAAAACCAAATATTTCTCGAGTATTTTAAGAATAATATTAACACTGAGGACTGCGGCCGCCCAGTACTGACGGAGGCACAAGTCATCATCGTTGTAGATCAGTATTGTTTCCTTGATCATTAATCCTTATAACATAAATAGACTGTCAGGTGAAATAACACAAACTTAAACACATCATATCAGGGAATTCTCGTCACCTGACCCTCGTGTGGATGTCTAACCTACAATAGTGATCTTACTGTGCGAGGTATTCGATTCCCCAAAAGTAGCTATACATGATAGGTTTTAATCTCACCATAAGACAGAGTTCGAGGAGGACACGTATTAGCTAACGTACAAGATTCTGCTTTTGTAGTTTTCGTATAAGATTCAATTACGTTCCTGTTTGTATAAGTCACCTAACCTAACCTAGTGTGTGAAGGTTAACCCGAGGAGTCATGTGACAGTACTGAGCTGCGTTGCTGAGTGAGACAAGCAGCAGTGTGTGGAAGGCCCTCCTCGTTGTCTTCGGGTCGACGACTGGCTATGGGCGTGTCCGTGTGGAAGACTATAAGCGTGGCCAAGAGATGGCAAGGGCCCCCGGCGTCCAGAAGACACGCACGCGCTACACCACCCCGCAATAACAGTGTCCGCGTACCCCTTTAAAAACGCTTCAGATGAGCTGTATAAACAAAAGTTGTCACACACGAACACCGTAAACCCGTGGCTGTGGTTATCATAAGTAATCTCTCGCCAGTCACGGGTCTTCCCCCTCTTATTCAGTATAGTTTTGATAGAATAAGCCCCTATGTACATTGTCTTATATCAAAAAAAATCTATTTGGTAGCTTCTAAAATTTGAAACGAAACTAATTTTATATTCCACGCAAGTAACAATGCGACACAAACCTCACCAATTGTCCTCCTCCCAACAGAAGTAAAAACACGAGAAACGGAAACAGCACGACAGTAAACAAAGATGACCGTCAAAGAGAGAGAGGGGG